TTGATATTTTGTGGTTTACACAGTGCCATGTTTTTGTCTATGCTTAGGAAAAATAAGAAAGTGGGCTTGTTAGTCTTACTTTAACACTGTCGCAGGATGACCATGTCTAAAGTTGACACTCTTTGAAATTGTTTATGTCCAAGAAAAGAACAGCTTAGACTAGCTGTGAGCACCAGGCCAGCTTTGAACAATAGTGTGAAGTAGTTGTGTTAGCAAGGTTCTAGAACTTAGAGACTAGTTATGATAAAACAGAAATATAAATAAATCTTGTTTTGAAATTTTTGGTGTTTAATTTTCTTTTGGTTTGTTGTTTTTTTGTAAAGCATATGAAATCGATGTAGCTAAATCTTTTTCCTACCATCTCTTGGTTTCTTCTCTTTTTCCTTGCTTAATAAAAATATTTGAAAATTGAGCACATTTTAAATTATAATTAATTTGTTCCCCTAAACAACATAGATAGCTTTTGACTCTGATGACCAGGAAATCTCTAGACAATGTTGATGAGATGTAGTAGCTTTAACATACTGTTATGAAAGCACATTCCTGATTTTGTATTTTTAAAATATGCTTGTTTTTAAACTTCTTCTAAAGGTTTGCATTTACCAATAATGAGATGATTGAATATGGCAGGGATGGTATAGGCAGAAGAGAGAAAACAGTTTGGCAGATTGTTTGCTCTTGGTGTCAGGCTCCCTGGCACTGGTTATTTTACAGAAGGTGATAGTTCCTTGGGAAGTGGGCTATACCGTCCTGTATTGTCCCACTGTCAGTGACAGAGTTACCTACAGGCTCTCACTTACACGAATGGGCGATGCCGCAATGTTAGATTTGTGCTCCTCCGATTACCTTCTGTTAAATGTCAGTCCTTTGTTGTTTGCAAAAAATAAGGAGTTTGTAGCTTTGATTTTACAAGAAAAAGGAGGTTGCTAACTTGAAGACTGGAGGAATTGCAGGTCTGTTCCTTGAAAAGACTGAAGGCATGTTAAAAGAGGAGGGTTCACATTATTTTGAATGTAAAACATCTAAAGGAAATGGTTAGAGAATGGCAACTGAATGTCCATCCACATGATTTCATGGAGACAAAACAGAGATACACCAAAAGCAGGGCCACCTAAATGTTTTTACTGGGAAATAAAAGAAAATAAAAGTCCCAGCTGGGACTACAGGCGTGCATCACCACACCCAGCTAATTTTTGTATTTATTTTAGTAGAGATGGAGTTTTACCATGTTGGCCAGGCTGGCCACGAACTCCTGAACTCAAGTGTGTCTATAAATATATAATACACAAACACACACACATATATGTATATGTATATGTGTGTCTATTATGTATTTATATGCACACACACCTGTAGTTTTAAAAGTTTGTTTATATATAAAACTTTATATATGTATGTTTTATATATAAAATTATATAAAACAACTTCAATATTCTTCCTTCAATTTATAGATACATTATATCTATAAATTCTGTAATTATTTGTAGATAGATAATTATCTACAAAGAGATATTTATCTACAAATAATTATAAAATTTAGATTCTATTTATAGATAATTATAGATAGACACTTCTTCGGAAAAAAACACAAAAATCATAAATTGTCATATAAAGATCGTAAAATCGTTAATTTCACATGAAGTTTAGATGCTTTGTCTAATAAAAATTAAAGGAAAAATGAGTTCTAGTTAATTAATTATTGCATTAAATTATGTAGAAGAGAACCGGTTTGCCCCATTTGGAATAAGCTTCCCTTTGTCTAAGGTTGAATTGTGGTTTTGTTGTCCATAATTATATTGTCTTACCTGTCAAGTAATTATTTTTACAAGTAACAATGATGCACTTCACCTGGATATTATACTTTACAAAGTGGTTTTAGTTTACATGATCTCTTTTGATCTCATCTATTGTTGGTCTCTGGTTGGCATATTACTATATTTCGGTGATGCCACTAGACCTTCTACCACACACTTTGAAGGAAGACTCATATAGACGCAGATTTAAAGTTATCTCTGATTACTTTTTTTTTTTTTTTTTTTTTTTTTTTGGAG